GAAGCCAAACTCAATATTAATTTCTTTCTTGAACCGCGGAGTTTCAAAAAGGAAGAAAGGCAAAGTAGAGTGATTGCACTCTGATGCAAGCCTCTCTAATTTCTGTGATTACACAACGAGAGCAAAGCAGGCATAGTACAGCCTCAAGGAGGGGGTGGGACTGGGGTGGGGGGAGGGGAGGAGCAGGCCCTACTACCAGGCCCACTGCTCCCCCTCCTCACTTCCCTGGCTCTTCAGGGCTCCCCACTCACCCCATGGCAGGGCCATGGCCTGGGACAATGACAGCCCTGAGACTCCAGCCCTGGCCTTTCGGTCTCTGCCTAGGTCCCCACCCCACGCAGCCGCCCGTGTCTCTGATGCAGTGGAACAGAGAGAGATTGTCCAACGTGGCTTCCACACACTCCCCTCCCCCTGGCCTGCCATCTGGCCCAGGACTGGGCTGCTCACAGCCAATCATCTAGCAAGGCCCATGGGCCCCACCTCCAGAATAGATCCTGGGTGCTGGTGCCATGTCCCCCCACCTCTGCCCATCCAGCCACCGCCATGCAAGCCTCCAACATCTCTCTGGACTGGTAGCCTCTGAACATGTCTCCCTGCTTCCCTCTTGCCCCTCGGCAGCCCCTTCTGGGCAGCCAGAGGGAGACTCCTAAACTAACCGTAAGTCAGATGTCCCCACTACCTCAACCCCTCACTTCCTCCCATCCCACTTAGAATGAAACCTGAATCCTTGCTGTGGCCTCTGAGACCTGTGTGGCCTGGCCCCTGCCCACCACCTCTACCTGAATCTGTTTCCTCTCACACTGGACTCCAGCCACCTTGGCTACCTTGGTGTCTTTCAACGGTGCGAGGCTCACTCCTGCCTCGGGGCCTTTGCACTTGCTGCTCCCTCTGTTTGAAATACCGTATCCCAGAGAATCTCATTTCTGGCTCCTAATTCAGATTGAATATGTTTTGGTTTTGGCTCAGGCCAAATAAAACAAGCCCAAGGGCCAGTTTTGACCCATTTTGCCACTTCTGATGTAGGGCTTCCAAACTGTACATGTTTTCTTTCTCTTACAAAGCATCTTGTCATTCAGAGATTGGCAAAGGAGTTCTTTGTGCTTGGTTTGGCCCCATTTTTATCAATGGCCTTAACACTTGGTCGTAGAGCATACACTGAGGAAGGATGAGGTAGCCTGGGAACATTTCACCATCTTCCTGCCTCGAGTGTCTTTCACTAACTCCCTCCTTTCCAGAGGCCCCATGAGTGAGTCTTCTTCTGGTTTACAAATCTGATCCCGTTATCAGCCCTGCCTCACCCCTGTAACTAGTCTGAAAGTCCCTCAGCCCAGTGTCCAAGGCCCTCCACACACTGACCTTCCCAGATTCACACTTCATACTTTAGTTCATGCACTTTCCTCCACTTGGGGCAGCTTTTCTCCCTTTTTAAACCTGATGAACACCTATTCAGCCTTCAAAGCCCTGCTCAAATGACCCCTCACCTAGGATACTTTCTCTGGCTGGATTAATGCATTTCTTCTAGGCCTACCATGTCTTCTTCTTACACCTCTTGCACCTACCACAGGATATTATGATCAGCTATAGGCAGAAATATTTCTCCTTCTAGACCATGACCTTGACAAGGGCAAGGTTCTTGTCTTATTAAATTCTCACATCCTGAGTGTCCGCCCCAGCTCCATGCACATAGGAGGCCTCAGTAAGTATTTACAGAAACAAATCTTTCTGCTGGAACCTGTTAGTTCACTGATTCAGACTCTGGTGACCAGGGTGTAGTTCAGAATACAAAATGCTTGAAGAGATGGAGCCATCATCGACTCAGCACATAGCATGTGCTCAGTAAATACTTGCAGAATGAATGTGTTAGTGAGTACAGAGGACTTGACTTGTCGTCACTGGTGGTCTGACATTAGTGTGCCCTTTGAACGTGGCTTTGGTGGAATTAAGCTAACCGTGGTATAGTATGCACCTGAAGGAAAGTGGAGCCGGATTCTGGGTCTGCAGAATGTTGTCACCTGATGAGGAAGAACTGAAAGACGCTGGAAGAAGGCTTTGGAAAAATGCCCAAATTATGAGAAGGTGAGAGATGCTCCTTCCGCCTGCTCTATCAGCAGGTAAAGGAGGCAATCACAGGCTGGCACTATCCTGAGTGGAAGAAACGCGTGGTCTTGCCAATACAGACCCACAGAGCTGTCCTCCAACACGATCCCCAAGAACCACAAAACACAGGGGTGTGTCTCGGGAAAGGAAGTCACAACTCGCATAAAGGTTGCTTCTGCTTCAGGGAAATGTTCTAGAAAGACAGCCAGGTTACCTTGCCGTGAACTCACACACAGCTGTGCTTTCTTCATGTTATTTTTCATAGGAGAGGGAAGTGCCAGGAATTAAAATTGCCAAAGCACTGTTCCCCCAGGTGTGTGGGTGAGGCACGCTTCCTGGGACCACTCCGTTTCAGCGTTGGGTGCCAGGTGTGCTCACCAGCAGGCGGCTCTTTATCAATTTCCTCCCGTGGACTGGATGTTTGGGATTTTGTTTTGTACCAGATTTTATTACAGAATAATTTTTTAAATTAACTAAACAAGCAAATACACCATTCCCAGCTTCTGACTGGCCCAAGATGCTGGGCTAGACCTCTTTGCCGTTGTACAAAGAGTACCCTAAACCAAAAAACTTGACATTTCTGTTAGCTGGTATTCCCCAGGAGGATGAAAAGGATGGTCTCCACTAGAGTTTTTAAAGTGCTGGAGACACTGAAAAACCTGAATAGTACGCCCTTAATTAATGTTAGTCTGTATTGTTATTGTTGTTGTTATTGCCTTCTGGGAAGTTATGAATGCCAGGTTCAGAACAACGGATCCATACGCAGATGGTGGCGATTGCAGTGAGAACAATGGCTGAGGTTTCCTAAGCCTTAACTAGGTGCCAGGCATAGTTTTACGTGCTCTGCATACATGATCTCATTTAATCATCCCCGTAACCCTCTAAAGGAGGTATCATTGTCCTCCCATTTTACAGAAGTAACGGACCCAGCATTGGTAGGTGTTGGAGGGAGCTGGGGTCTGTCTGACTTAGCACCAGAGTGGCTTTGCTGCTGTGTAAGTCAAAGAGGCTTCTCAGTCCTAAATCCTCAAAGAAGTATGAGTTATATCAATTCATGGCTTTACTTTGTTTATCTTCATATGTTCCACGTCCTCTAAAAGGAAAACTCCACGTAGAGTCATGTGGCTCTTCCTAGGGAAGTTCTAGGCATTTGGCTGAATCTGAATACATATCCCCGTATTCCAGAAATTGGAAATCACACGTATGTCTTCTTTATGGCGAGGTCTTCAGAGCATCCACCATCTCTGATCGCTCAGGGCTTGGCATGAGGAGGTGCTCAATATAGTCATGGAGAAGAACTCATGGAATGAACTTCCTAGTGAACCAGAGGAACGGTGCAGAGATTTAAGATTGCAGCAGGAACCCCCAAGCCAATGTAAGCAAAACATCTGTTTCATGACTGTGGGAATGTTTTGTAAAATCCAAGCACTAGTCTGAAGAAAGCCTGGAACTGCAAACTAGGAGCTTTGACACACTCTCTCTATCTTTTGAGCTCTAGTTTTCTCCTTCCTCAGCAGACCAACTCTCACTCTAAGTACAAGACGGGCAGAGGATGGCTGCCCCAGAGTCCCCGAGTCACTGGCAAAACTGCCCCTCTTCCTGGGTCCCATGCCAAATTCTCAGGGAAGGAGTTTGATTGGCTAGCCTGGGTCAGGTGGTCAGTCCTGGTCTGAGATGACTGGATCATTTTGAACAAATATGGCAGCCAGAGCCCACAAGTTTAGATCATGGGACAGTTAAGGGCATCATTGTTATGGCAGTTAATGGCTGAGGCTGCTCTCTCCTGCGTATCCCAAGACTCCCTGGTAGACCACAGAATTGGCCGCCTCCTACTTCCTGCCATTCTCCAGGAGGGGAGGCAGGTGCCCTACTGAGTCCAGAGCTCTCTCTGACATTGCTGTGCCCAGACCAGGATCTAGATGGGCATCCAAGAGCAACCTGTGTGCCTTAAAGGAGCTCAAAGTGAGCAGGCCATCCCTGAGAGCGAGGAGCAGGGGTGGCGGGAAAGTTTGGATTATCTGAAGATGGCCTGGTTCTCCGTGAACTCTGGGAGGAGATGATGGTGTTTGGTAATGGGGACTGCATGTGACAGGCTGGAGGGTGAGTGCACAGCAGACCGGACCCTGCTGGGCAACGCTGTGGGGAGGAGGCCGTGGGGGGTGGGCCAGGGCCACGCAGCATTGCTTTGGCGCAGCTCCCACCTCTGACGGTCCGCAGACCAGTGCTTCACTTGCTCTGGTTTGTTCTGAGGGTTCCATAAGTTTATTTTGTGTTATTTTATTAAATCAAGTCACTTTTGTAGAACATTATAGAAATTTTTTAAAAAAGCACAAAGAAGAAAACAAGAATCACTCATAAACTAAGCATTGTAACCATCTTTGGGTGTATCCTTTTTTTAAACAGATTTGTGGGGAGGGGGAGAAAATGGGGTAATTTGCAATAAACTGGATACTTGCTTTTCTCACCCCAAAACAAGGTGCTCTTTCTTGTGTTCTTTCGTGGTCTTTTTGTAACATTTCCACAAGCTTGGATGGAGGATGGAGAAAAGTCTCAGCTGTATTCGTTGGCTCCCACTGGGACCCAGAGAACGGCAGTGCCTCTGTTGGTTTCTCTTTTCCTCTGATAAAACTATGGAACATCTTCTCCACACTGCCCTCATCCCACCCCACATCTGTCCCGAGGGCAGCGGGTCCCAGTCCTGCATGTTCCCGGCACCCCGAGGGCCAGTGCCATGTTGCATGGACTTGCTGCGGCCACCCTGGCTGGGGACGCTCTGCGGGACACATGCACAGCCCGGATACCCCGGCAGGCTCCCCGCACCCCTGCTGTTCCCTGTAGGAGCCGCCTGCCCGCCCTGCCGCTGCCTCACCATCCCTCCTCTCCTTCCCTTCTCTGCTGTGCAGGCTCTCACCCAGGGTGGCAGAAGGAGCCCTTCTGGAGCTGACCCACCCCCGACGACCATCAGGTAACGTCAACAGCCACAGAAGCAACATCCGTGAGTGGAGTTCTCCCTCTTAACCAAGCCAGGGAAAAGCACGCTTGCAGCAATTACAGCTGAGTTTTCACACAACTCTATAAGCCAGAGGGGATTGCCCTCATTTTATAGATGGGGAAACTGAGTACCAACAAGAGCAGTACTTAGTAGTCGTATTGAGAGTAGTACTGAGCAGTAGTACTTAGCTGGTAGAAGACAGACTAGAGATTTGAACTCAGGACTGGTCTCAGCCCAGTTTCCTCCACTGTACCGTACCCCACGCTGCCCCTGGAACTAAAGAGATAAGAAGGCTGTAGAGTGCCAGTAGAATCTTGGGGTGACTAAAGGCTGAAAGAGGTCATCTAAACCAGTGGTCCTTCCTCAGCTGAGGGCCAGGGCTGGGCTGCCAGCATAAGAATCTCTTTTGGCAGAGTTTGTTAAAAGTATAGACTCAGGGCTTCCTGTAACCCAGTGAGAGATGTACCAGTGTCGTCCTCATTTTAAAAGATAGGGACACAGAGAGGTTGAGTGTACTCATAGTCACACAGCTCAAAAGTGGTAAAGTGGACTGTGATCAGAGGTCGTAACTCCTAGGCTTTGCCATCTTCACCCGGACCCTCCATAGTGGGAACAGTGGGGACAGCTTTCTCCCCATTTGCAAGCCACAGGCTGAGCTCCTTCCTTGCTTGCCCTGGCCATGGCTAGTATGGCCTCAGAGTGTGACAAGTCTCCCAATTGTATCCTTGGAGGCAAAGTTAAAGATTTTATGATTAAATACTTAATATTTCCTGTTGGAAGTTTGGTGGCCTCAGATTTCTCCTCTGAGCAGGACATACAACAGAGGGTTGGACACAGATGGCCAGAGTTGAAGCTAGGCCAGGAAACATCGCTGTGTCTTTGGAAACAAAAGTCACCTTCCTTCCTCCGAGAGCAAGGGCGGGTGAGAGGAAGAGGGTTTACGGAGAGCCTTTTCAAGCCCCTAGCTGGTGTGTGGGTTATTTTGTTTTTGTCATTTTAGGGTGCAGCAACTCCAAGATCCTACTCTCTTTCTGTGTCTATCACCCCACCCCTGTCCTCCTAGGGTGACCTTGAGCCGCAAAACTGCTGTCCACGTGGACCGGGGCTGACATCGCACGTCCATCTGCCAGGACCCCGGCGTCCAAATTCCGAGACATGGCAACCAACGGCAGCAAGGTGGCCGATGGGCAGATCTCCACCGAGGTCAGCGAGGCCCCTGTGGCCAATGACAAGCCCAAAACCTTGGTGGTCAAGGTGCAGAAGAAGGCAGCGGACCTCCCCGACCGGGACACGTGGAAGGGCCGCTTCGACTTCCTCATGTCCTGCGTGGGCTACGCCATTGGCCTGGGCAACGTCTGGAGGTTCCCCTATCTCTGCGGGAAAAATGGTGGTGGTAGGTGCTGGCCTGGAGACCTCCTGGCTTGGTCTGGACCTTGCAGAAAGGATCCTGCTTAGGCATTTTTCTGGGCCAACTGTAGGAGAAAAGCCCCCCTAAAGACTCCAGAGGGAGGATCAGGCCCATTCTTGCTTCATGTCCCTTTATCAAGATTCTGAAAGGACAATTGTCCTCTGTTAATGATACCAAGAAGTTCATCTATTCACTTGCAAAAAAAAACAAGGGATGTATTTTGCGTAAGGCTGTCCTTGGGCCTGCGTTTGCCTGTGGGGCCTACTTTTGTGGCAGGTATAAAGAAATCCTGGATAGGGACGCAGAACCATGGCACTCCACCAGGGTGGGTCTCGAAAGTCTTGGGGCCATGAGCATCTGTCTTCTTTACCCTGCAGGAGCCTTCCTGATCCCCTACTTCCTGACACTCATCTTTGCGGGGGTCCCTCTCTTCCTGCTGGAGTGCTCCCTGGGCCAGTACACGTCCATCGGGGGGCTGGGGGTATGGAAGCTGGCTCCTATGTTCAAGGGTAAGTCTGCAGAGCGGGGCCCTGGGCAGTGTCTGCCCACACACACTCCTGCCCCTCTGGAGAGAGGGACCTGTCTACGCAGACTGGTGCTGACATTACATATCTGCCCACCAGGTGCATGTGTGAGCAGAGTGAGGGCTATTGCAAGAGGCCAGGTGACAGAATACTGTGCCAGTCAGAAACTAGGGAGGTGGCATGGAGAGGCCCAATCCAGAGTCCCCTGCACATCAGCCTGCTCTGTCCCATTAGCCCATGTATTTCCCCTGCACGGGCTGGGTGCGACTTTCTTTGCCTCATGCTTAGTGCCTGACAGGCACCCAGGCAGACACATGGTGAGTCGTGCTCACTGACCGAGGGCCTGGGCCCCATCTTTTCTGACAAGCTGAGACCACAGCCCTCCCTGCCACCAGCCTGCACTGGGCCCAAGACATGAGTCCTGGCCCCTGGCTTGCCAGATGTGCATGGCCTTCAGCAAGTCACTGCCTCTGTCTTAGCCTCAGTGTCCTCAGTAATGCCTGTCTCCAAGATCATTAAGATCGTAGAGGCTGTGGAGCACGCCAGGACAGTTCACGTCGATTCTGTATTAAGTGGATGCATGACTCTGTTTCGCTCCCAGGCGTGGGCCTTGCGGCTGCTGTGCTGTCATTCTGGCTGAACATCTACTACATTGTCATCATCTCCTGGGCCATCTACTACCTGTACAATTCCTTCACCACGGTGAGTGGTCCCTTTGACTACCTCCTCCAGCAGGAGCCACACCCAGAGCCCACCCTCAGCCTGCCACAGCCACCACTCTGCTGACAAGGCCATTCTTCCAGGAGTGGGGAACTTGGTTTGTCTTTCGTGGGCCTTGGTCTCCCCATAACAGCCATAGCCTCGCAAATTTAGCGTCTCCTCTGGGCCAGGCACTCCTTGTAGGCTCACATCCAGTGCTAATGACACCCCTCTCAAGTGGGTCTTGTTAGCCCATTTTATATGGATGCAGACAGCCTGGGTTCAAATCCTGACTCTATACCAGCTGTGCAACTTCAGAAAAGAGACTTAACCTCTCTGAGTCTCAGTGCCCTCATTTATAAAATGGAAATAAAATCAGAACCTGCCCCAGTTCCTCAAAAAATTAAACACAGAATTACCATATGATCCAGCAATTCTGCTTCTGAGTAGATACCCAAAGAATTAAAAGCAGGCTCTCAAGGAGATATTTGTATGCTCCTGGTCATAGAAGCACTATTCACAGTAGCCAAAGGTGGAAGGAACCCAAGTGTTCATTGATAAATGAATTGATAAGCAAAACGTGGTCTATTCATACAATGGAATGTAATTCAGTCTTTAAAAGGAAGGAATTCTGACACATGTCAACATGGATGAACCTTGAGGACATTATGTTAAGTGAAATAAGCCAGTCACAAAAATACAAATACTGCATGATATTGCTTATATGAGTTCCCTAGAGTAGTCAAATTTATAGATTTGGATTTTTACTTTACCTTTTCTACAGAAAGTGGAATGATGGTTGCCAGGGGTTGTGGGTAGAGGGTGAGGAGTTGTTGTTTGATGGGTAGAGTTTCAGTTTTGCAAAATGAAAAAGTTCTGGAGAAAGATGGTGACAGTGTTAGGCAATGCGTTTCTCAGAACGTGTTCCCATTGTGAAGTGACACATGACTGTATTTGCAGAGGTGTGGCAGGGTTAAGGGAGCTACATTACAGATATACTTAACGCTTCTAAATCGTACACTCACAAATGGTTAAGATGGTAAATGTTATGAGTATTTTATCATAATAAAAAAATGAAAGAAAACAAAAGTGAAACCCACCTCATAGGGTTGTTATGAGGATTAAGGAGCAGATATGTGTAAGGAACTTAGAACTGTGCCTGGCAGAGAACAAGGCCTGCGTTTGCCGTTGTTATCCTAGGGCAGAGTTGCATGAGTGAGGTCTCTCACCCAGCGTCACATGGTGGGGAGGTAGCCCCAGCTGTGGCTTGCTCTGGCACTTAGTAGCTGTGCATTCTCAAGCAAGTGACTGTCCCTCTCTGATCTGTCAAATGGGGATCATAATGCTACTTGCCTCCCAGAGCTTCTGGGAAGGGGAGGTGTGAGGAGGCTTGGGGACCATGAGGGTGGGCAGGGTGCACTGGGACCACCCATGCCAGCCCCTGGGAGCCCAGCAGGATGTGTCCTCATGACTGCCCTTGCAGACGCTGCCGTGGAAACAGTGTGACAACCCCTGGAACACAGACCGCTGCTTCTCTAACTACAGCATGGTCAACACCACCAACATGACCAGCGCTGTGGTGGAGTTCTGGGAGTGAGTATGGGGCCGTCGGGGGATAGCAGGGATGGGCATGCCAGCCAGAGCCTGGCAGGAGACAGAGGCCCCTCAGAGGCGGAACAGAAGAGGTGGATAAAGGCGCTACAGTCATGTGTCACATCATGGACCACATGTACAATGGTGGTCCCATAAGATTATAACACTGGGTTTTTACTTTACCTTTTCTACATCTAGACATGGCTAGTACAGAAATCGCTGTGTTATAGCTGCCTGCAATATTCACTACGGTCATGTGCTGTACGGGTTTGTAGCCTAGGAGCCATGGGCCACACCATATGGTGTAGGAGTCTAGCACGCTATACCATCTAGGTTTGTGTAAGTACATGCTATCGTATGTACACCGCAACAAAGCTGCCTCACAACATATTTCTCAGAAAGTATCCCTGTTGTTAAGTGACACATGACTATAGTTGCAGAGTTGTGGCGGGCCTAAAGCAGCCACAAGGGATGCTGAAGGCCTTTTCTCCCCAGAAAGAGTTGGACTGTAGATGGAGCCATGAGACACGCAAGCTCTGACCTTTGATAGCGAAACCCAGCTACCTGCAGAGCCATGGTCCAGCAGGGAGAGTACATTCCCCAACATCTCTGCCTCTAATATCCTGCCAAGGCCTCCCACTGGTCAAACCCAGCTAGAAGCCAGAGAGCAGGCGGCAAGGTAATATAGCCATAGCCATCAGCACGGAGCCTGGCACAGAGTAGTCAAGAGGGAGAGTGGATCAGAGAGGCAAACGGAGGGGAATAACCAGCACAGCAGTTAGAATCACCTGGAGAGGTCGACCACATCCTGATTCATCCTGAAAACCAGGCTGATCTACTTACAAACCCAGAGTCATTCGGAATAAACATGCACACACTCTGGCCATAGGGAGGACCATGCTGACTGTATCTTCAGGGGAGTACCTTGTAGCGATGTGTGTTGGGGGCACTGACATGACACAATGAGGTGCTGGGGCCCAAATCTCTCTGGCATGAAGGAAGCGCCTGTGCTGGAACAGCTCAGAGGGATCCAGGAGCAGTCCAGAAGGTCCCAGAGCACCTTGGATTAGCTCCCAAGAGGAGCTGTTCTCAGGCAGTGTCAGAATCAGCATTGCCTGATCTCTTCGTGGACCAGCGTCCGTAGCTACACTGTTTCCTTACAAATAAAAATAAAATTTTGCTCCAGCGAGTTCTGTTTCCCGGCATCTCCCACACTCAGCTCGCAGGCATGTTTGGACTTTTCATTCAACCATTTGTTCAATAAACACTTCTTGAGCTCCTACTATGTGCCAGCAGATGAGAGGCACGGACGCCCAAGCAGGCAATGGCACCACCAGGCAGCCAGTGCGAAGAGGAGGGAAGCACAGGCGGCTGGGCTGCGGGGACCCTGGGGAGGCCCCTGGTTCAGCCTGGGTGGCAGGGAGTGGCATCTAGAGGAGAAAACTGCAGGGCAGGCAGGTGCTGGAGAGGAAGAGTGTGAAGGCTGGGAGGCAGGTGAGGCCAGGCCAGGCACCGGGGAGCGGGCTGCAGCGAGTGCTGAGAGGAGGGGGAGACGCAGGTGCCTTGAAAGGTGGCCGGGGAGTTTGGGCTTCATTCTGAGAACAAGCAGGAGCTATTCATTGCAGTAAGCAGAGGAGTGACATGATCAGACTTGCAGGTTAGAAGGCTCTCTGGGGCTGGAGAGGGGACAGAGCAAAAATGAAGGCAGGGTCCCACTAGGGAGCCACTGGGCCATCAGATGAGCAGTAGTGGCTGACTCAGGCCCTGGCAGGTCCTGCTCTCTTTGATCTCTTGACCAAACAGCACTTTCTACTGATTAGTATAATGGGCCTTGCAGTCCCCAGCCACCTCTTGAATCACGGTGATGATGGTGTCGGCACAATTCCAGGGCAGGGTGTCGTCTGTGGCCATGCCCCAGGCACCCCTGGGTCACTCCAGCTCCCACCAGCTCCATGCAACTTTCTCCTCTCTCCACTGTTTGACCAGGCGCAACATGCATCAGATGACAGACGGGCTGGATAAGCCAGGTCAGATCCGCTGGCCACTGGCCATCACGCTGGCCATCGCCTGGATCCTGGTGTATTTCTGTATCTGGAAGGGTGTCGGCTGGACCGGAAAGGTAAGGGATATATGTGCACAGTGAGGACAGGCGGGCACTGGAGAGACGAACAGGTCTACAAAGGAAGCTCTGCACAACAACTCCCAGGAGGCCCATCCAACCTTGAATTAAGTGGGTCCCTGCATCACTTGTGTGTGTCAGTTTCCTTTACTGCAAAATGGGAATAATAACATCACCTTACCTTCTAGGGTGGTTATGAGGATGAAAGGAAATAGTGCAAGTCAGGCGCGTAGCACAGTGCCAAGCTCACAGCAAGTCCCATGGGATTCCACTGGGCACAACAGAGTCAACTCAAAACAGAGGGCAAATGCTCCCGGACTGTCGAACAAACTTTCCCAGAGCATCTGCTCTGCATCAAACCGTGTGCTAGGTACAGAAGCTCCAGAGATGACAGCTTCATATCCTGGCCCTTGAGGAACAACAGAGGTGAACAGGCTAATGGTTAAAGACTCAGGCTCTGTATTAAGCAGTCCGTGAGTTCAGATCCCAACCTCATCATTTACTAGCTGTGAGCTCAGGCAAGTCACTTTGCCTCCCTGAAACTCAGTTTCCTTCTCTGTAAAATGGGACTAATAATTATACTTATCTGTTGGTTTATTATGATAATCAGATGAGACGGTAATTTTGTCAAGCACTCAGCGCCTAGTAAGGGGAGTTGTTATTGTTTTTTTTGAGACAGAATCTTGCTCTGTTGCCGGGTTGGAGTGCAGTAGCTCAGTCTCGGCTCACTGCAACCTCTACCTCCAGGGTTCAAGCAATTCTCCTGCCTCAGCCTCCTGAGTAGCTGGGACTATGGGCCACCACGCCCAGCTAATTTTTGCATTTTTAGTAGAGATGGGGTTTCACCATGTTGGCCAGGCTGGTACCCACCTCCTGGCCTCGTGATACACCCACCTCGGCCTCCCAAATGCTGGGATTACAGGCATGAGCCACCGTGCCCGGCCCTGCTCTTGTTTTTATTATCAGCAAGTGCAGAGCAAATACCAAGCTGGGATGTCCAGCCTGGGGACACCTGGGAGGTGGAAAACTGGCCTTCCCCCACCTCTTTTCCCTCCCAAGCCCTACCCCAGGAATTTTGGGACAGAAGATGGCAGAGCCTCTCACTGACCTTGACCTGAAGGGAAAGTGTGTTGACTCAGATCTTACAGCAAGTCAAGGGCAGAGAAGGGATTTGTACTGAATAAACCGGAAGCAGGAAGGTCAGAACTACCCAAGAAGCGGACTCACGGTGCTAGAAGCAGTAGTAGAAATGAACGAAGCAGAACCTTAACAAATTCCGCACTTCGGCGTAGGCAGAGCTGGTGAAAAGCTGCCCTAGTTCCATGCAGTGGGAACTCTGGACTCACTGAGTTCTCAAATCCAAGCCTGGTGTAAAAATATCTCTGATCCATTCCTAGGACTAGGGATGTTGAAAGAGAGCACGAGCGTCTCCCAGTCTAACTTTAGGGAGCAGAAAAGTATAGGGTTTGTGGGCTTTGGAAGGGTTTGAATCTCAGTCCCTGAGTTTCTAGCTGTGTGCACTTGAGCAAGCCATTTCACCTCTCTGAGCTTCAGTCTCCCCATCTGTTCAATGGTCACAATAACAGCACCTTACAGGGTCATCACAAAGACTAAGGGAGATGAGTAGAATGCTTAGCGTATGGCTCACACGTAGTAAGCACTCCATACATAGTATTACTTGTGATCATTTTGGAGTGGTAATTAGAGTTCCTGCTACGTTAGGAGTCTGGCCACTTCTTGGGGACAGAGAGTAGGGCCCCCTCACTGCATATATTGAGGATGTCAACCAATCCATCCACAAACATTTTACTGAATACCTGCTGTGTCCCTGGCTTCATGCTGAACACGGAAGGCACAGGGAAGTACGAGACTGAGGCGACATATAGTAAGCCAGCTGTATGTCCTCATGTGACCCACCGTTCTGAGCAGTAGGTGTGACTGTGCCCAGTTTCCAGACATGAGAAAGTGAAGCTATGGCGTTGATCCTCAGTTACACAGCTCGTGGGTGACACAGATGAGTTCGATTTCCCTTTTCCTAGCTTCAAGCACAATGAGTTTTCTTGCGGATTGTGACTGCCTTCCTTAATCCTACAGAATCTTGGGGTCGAGTCAGGTAGGTGAAGCCAAGGCAGTGAACTGTTCATGCTGTCCAGGGAGCAGGCTCATATTAGGCTCTGAGATATGAAGGTCATTGAACTTGAACATTGCTCTTCCACACTAGTGAGCAAAGAAATGCAATTTTAGACAATGATTACCAATTTGGCAAGAAGTAATTGTTTAAATGATGATACCGAATGCTGGCCTTGTGAGAGGAAGACACTCTGCAATGCCAGGTGAAGTTCCATTTCTAGAAGGCAACAAGCTGATATGGATCAAAAGCCTGGGACGAGTTTATTCCTTTTAACTCAGTATTTCCACCTCTACAAATTTGTCCCAAGAGTGGTATAATAATTCTGTAGCAGGAGATTTATGTACAGGGGTGTTTAATGTGGTTTTATTTAGAGTCACAAAATTGGAGGTAACCTAAATGCATAACAGTGGGGGAACTTAGATTGGTAGGGCCTTCTGAGGGACTGTTTTGTATAATTAAAATGTCAAATTGTTCATGAGGCAATAAAACAATGTTTAGTAAACGAAACGGGAAACACACCTGTATGTGCTTGTGCTTTTTAACTCTAAACATGTTACATGGAAAGGCAAGTACCTAATTTGAACCTTATTTTGTAAGAAAATGCGATCACATCTGTAAAGGAGAGTCTCAGAGCATTCAGGTGAGAACATCCATGCATTTATGTGCTTGTCAGACAGTTATTGAGTGTCTACTATATACGGTGGACTGTTCTGGATATGGGGATGTGAACGGAGATGTGAACAACACAAGCCCTGCCCCTCCACAAAGCTTAATTCTAGGTGCTGGTGAAGGAAAATTATGTATGCGTGTGCATATCTAATTTAAAAGTTTTCCTGTCACCACATGCATTCCTTGGATAATTTAGAAGTCAAAAAATAGGAGGGGACAGGGGAAGGGGAAAACCAAATGTGAGCTGCTTGGCTCAGACTCCAAGGAGGAGCTTCAGAAAAGTGGCCAAGGAGAGCAGGAATCTGGGAAGGCTTCCTGGAGGCGGAAGAACTGGAATCAAGCCCAGAGCCACAACAGATACGGATGTAGGGGAAATGGGGGAGGAGGAAGCTAAGGTATACAGAGGGAGGCATCACCAGTTCACCCCCTTTCCTCCCAGGTGGTTTACTTCTCAGCCACATACCCCTACATCATGCTGATCATCCTGTTCTTCCGTGGAGTGACGCTGCCTGGAGCCAAGGAGGGCATCCTCTTCTACATCACCCCCAACTTCCGCAAACTGTCTGACTCCGAGGTGAGCACTCCCCCAGCCCAGGTTCTGAGCCACGACTGAGCAGCTTTGAGACAAGCTTTTGCATCTTTCTGACCCTCATTGTAGACCGGGTTTGTTGCCAGGGAGAGCTGGTAGGCACACGGAAAAGGCTGTGGGGAGCTTTGGCTATGGTGGTTACTTTTGATGGTCTTTGATGATTCTGCCTACAGGTGTGGCTGGATGCGGCCACCCAGATCTTCTTCTCATACGGGCTGGGCCTGGGGTCCCTGATCGCTCTCGGGAGCTACAACTCTTTCCACAACAACGTCTACAGGTTCGAGCGGACAGCTGCAGGAGCCCCTTCTTTCCTGAATGAGCCCCTCGAGTCCATGCCCATGCTTACCTGTTAGGGCCCTCTTTGGCCACTTTGCACTCAGTTTAACCTCTCCCTGAGCCAGTTCTTTGTGTCACTCCTTCTGCAGTCACAGACATTCCTTCCCTGACCCTGATTCTCTGGCTCTGCCCTCCCCTAGCTTTCTCTTAGGGCCTGTACTTCTGGGGCCCACTGTGTAGCCCCGTTCCCAGCCCCTTCCTCCGGGCCACTCCTCCATAACCACAGCCAGCAGCTACACTGTCTGCCAGCCCTACCCTCCTGACCCCGCCCCTCCCTCTGCAGGGACTCCATCATCGTCTGCTGTATCAATTCGTGCACCAGCATGTTCGCAGGATTCGTCATCTTCTCCATCGTGGGTTTCATGGCCCATGTCACCAAGAGGTCCATTGCTGATGTGGCGGCCTCAGGTCAGTGCAACACTGTGTGGGGCCGGGCTCCTGGCACGGGGGTATTAACCATGCTGGCTTTTGCCATCATCAGCATTACCACCACCACTGTGGCTCACTGGCATTGAACACCCCCTATGTGCCAGGCAATGCGATTCTTCTCAACATTTTGCAATACATGCTATTGTTAGCCATGTCGTAGATAAGGAACCTGAGACACTCCCAACGGCATGGAGCTGGGAAGATGGTGGATCTGGAGTTGGAAGCTAGGTCTGGCTGACTCCCAAGCCTTGGGTCTTAGTCTCTTGGGCATACTGCCATGTCCAGCACAATCCTGGACTTTTTGGGGGAGACGATCCACTCCTGCCTTGGGCCTATAAGCTTTGGTCCAATTCAGACATGTTCACCACCATACTACAAAGACCCCCAAATCCATGCTTTTGTCTCAGCTCCAAAAGTGTTCTCACTAAGTGGGCCATGTCCACTCTGCTCACCACACAGCCATCAATGCCACAGAGCCCAAGGAAAACCCCGGACAGCCCTGCCCTGCATGGCCAGGCAAGCAACCAAGGGGAGGAGCCCGCTGTCTACAGGGCCGAGGCCCCTCAGGCTCATAGGGAACACATAACTCGTCCCTCGAAGAAGTAGGCTGGTCCCGTGAAAGGAGCATTCTCTGCTCAGATTCTAATCTCCGCTTTGAGGGCAGCCACCATCTCATTTCTCTGCAACTCTCCAGCCATTCCCCTGTCCCCATCCAGACCCAGAGCCAGGGAGGTTACAGTCTCTTTCCTTCTCATTCCAAGATTTTCTGATCTCTTAGACACCTCCACCAAGTACTCAGACACAACACATGCCAAACACATGTTGCTCCAAAGCCTTCTCCTCCACTATGCTCCCCATCACAGAAGGGTTCCAGCATCCAGTCCCCAGGGTGGAGACCTCAGCACCGTCCAGGACTCTTCCCTCACTCTGACCCTGCAAGCCAGCCAATACCAGAACCTGCCCCTTCTGCCCCCCACATAGCTCTCCGTCTGGTCACCTCTCTGCACATGTACCATCCCCACCACTGGCCAGGCCATACAGTCCCGGGTCCAGACGATAGCCACAGCTCCTCACTGGTCCTCTTGCCTCTGGGCACAATTACTATGGCTCCTCATCCTCCACCCTCTTTCTGCATCCGGACAAAGGGGCTGACAACACCCACTCACAAGGTTACTCTGAAGATGAAATGAAAAATGGCTTAGAAAATGGGCGGTGTACTGGGAAGGCTGTAGGTACTGAGGACGTTTTATTTTTCTTCTTTTTGCCCTTTTCTGCTCAGGCCCCGGGCTGGCGTTCCTGGCATACCCGGAGGCAGTGACCCAGCTGCCTATCTCCCCACTCTGGGCCATCCTCTTCTTCTCCATGCTGCTGATGCTGGGCATTGACAGCCAGGTGAGGGCGCCCAGGGCACCCCAGGGGCTCCCCGCCCCTAGTCTTCTCAGTCCCCGAAAGAGCAGGGAGAGGACGCCACTCTTGGCTGCCAAGAAGATGACCAAAAATTCCAGGCCCCTAGAATGTTCCACTGCATGAAACTTCAGGAAACAGCTCAGCCACCTTCTCCATTTTCCAGAAGGGGATACTGATTCCCAGAGGGAAGGGACTCTACTGAGGTCACAAAGTGAGTTATAGGCAGAATCAGGCTGGCCCCTGGGCTCTCCTGGCTGGGTGCTGCTGGGCCTCCGTCTTTCCTTAGAGTTCCAGGCTTTGGGTGGGTTGGGGCTGGGGCTGCTGCAGGTGGCTGACCTCTGTTCCCTCCTGAAGTTCTGCACTGTGGAGGGCTTCATCACGGCCCTGGTGGATGAGTACCCCAGGCTCCTCCGCAACCGCAGGGAGCTCTTCATTGCTGCTGTCTGCATCATCTCCTACCTGATCGGCCTCTCTAACATCACTCAGGTAAGCTCAGTAAGCACCTGGAACTCCCCCAGCACTGCCCAGGGCACACCCAGGGCCTCCTTCCCCTTCCCCTGTTGTATACCACCTTTCCTGCCTTTATTGAGCATCATCTCCATGCCAAGCTCTGGGCACATAACAGTGAGTCAGATAGGGTCCCTGCCCTCCAGAGGCTCCCAGGCTGGTGGGAGACATAAACATTGGCTGGGACAGAGCTACAGAATGCAGTGCTGAACTGGCCTGGGGGCACCGGGCACTGCTTCCTGGAGGAGGGGATACAGGAATTGAGTTTTGAAAAGCCCACAGAAATTAGCCACAAAGTCAAATTGGAGTTGGGCCTTTGAAGTTGAGACTGCTGAAAGCTTTCTTTCATTCCCATTTTTCTTGTGTATTGACATGAATGAGAAAGGCTCACATAGCCGGTGAATTGTACTCTATAAAATGTAATTGTTTATAGTATATTTGTTTTCTACTTTACATTTTATACAATTATATTTATCATTGTACAATATAAATATGAACAACTCAGCGGCATGAGTTCAGCCCTGTGGGTCTGATTTTTATAATCCACAAATCACTGCCCAGATCCAAACACAGTTCTGCTCCAGAGTTAGTGTTCATTCATCCCTTCATTCACAGTTGTTGAACACCTACTATGGGCCTGGCATGGCCCTGGAAATTTGGCAATTAATGTGACAGATACTACCGTGTCTGCTCTCTTAGAGCTTACATTTTGGTAGGCAAGACTGACAGACAAATTAGATGATTTCGGAGGGTGTCAGGTGTCCCGGAGAAAAGAGGAGAGCAGAATAGAGAATGACCAGTGGGACAGGAGAGGCGCTCCCTCAAACACGGAGTCAGGGGAGGTCTCTCTCTCTCCAAGAAAGTGAGCTGAGACGTAAATGATGAGAAGGAGCCAGCCAGAGGAAGATCTGGGGAAAGAGAGTAGAGCAGGTGCAAAAGCCCTGAGGCATTTGAGGGACAGGAGGGAAGCCAGTGTGGCGGAGGCAGAGTGAGGCAGTGGGTGCGAGATCAAAACCAGCCCATGCAGACCTTGCAGGCCAAGACATTGGGATGGGACGGGATGGGATGGGATCTCTCTCTGCTTATTTATGTGTTACATTATTGTCTCATTTAAGCCATGGAACGTTTTAAGCAGGGGAGAGACGTGACTGATTTACACGTAAACAGATGGCCCTGGTGACCAACTTCTCTTTCCACCCTCCAACCTTACCAGAAATGGGCATTTCCCTCTACCACCTGAACATTTCCTTCCCAATCCCCAGACTGCCAACCTCCATGTCCTTTCATGGTCACAAAGCCCTCAGTGCTTCATCTAATCTATCCTGAAGCCTTCTTGCTGCAATGCAGCCTAGTCCCAACCCCATCAGCCTCCAGAGCCCATGTCGTCTGTGAATTGGCTGCCATCCACTGATGGGCTCTGGGGAAAGTGCACCTGTTCTTACGTTCTTTTCTCTTGCAGGGAGGCATCTATGTCTTCAAACTCTTTGATTACTACTCTGCCAGTGGCATGAGCCTGCTGTTTCTCGTGTTCTTTGAATGTGTCTCTATTTCCTGGTTTTACGGTGAGTATCGGCCCCTCCTCCCTTATTCGTTCAGTCATCATTCAACAAGTGCAATTTGAACACCAGGTATTTTCCCTACATTTATGTATTTATTTATTCTTCACATTACAATTCAGTAAGGTTAGTCCAGGAGGCCCCCATGTTTAGAAGATATAAGAGCCGTTAAATGAGTTCATTTAAAATAGGTGCCAACATTTCTTTATAAATTTTGAAATAAAAAGGGTTTTGAGATTTTATCCAGAAAAGAGAAACCAAAACCATTTTTTAAAGTTTTAAAGTTATATATTTTTAAAAGCTAGGCTGTAATGAAAAGCGTGCACTATCTTAAAACAAATAACAAAAGAAGCATTGATTTTGTTTGTTTTGTGGCCTAAGTTTCTTGAGCCAACTGCATGATAGTAAAAAATGACAACATCCTTTCCTGCACATTTGATTGTCACAGCAGAGCAAATGTTTTGAAAGAAACATAATATTCTGGGTCCCCTCATTGCAATATCTGCCACCTCATCTGCCTTGTCATTGTCCCTTCTTTTTTATATATATATATGTATAAATTTAAGGAATATGAGTGCAATTTTGTTACATGGATATCTTGTGTAGTGGCAAAGTCTGGGCTTTAAGTGTACCCATCACCCACATAATGTACATTCTACCCACCAAGTAATTTCTCACCATCTACCCCAGCTCCCACTCTCCTACCCTCCTGAGTCCCCAGTGTCTATTATTCTACTCTGTATGTCCACCTGTCCCCAGCATTTAGCTCCCACTTTTAAGTGAGAACATGCAGTATTTGACTTTCTGTTTCTGAGTTGTTTTGCTTAAAATGATGACTTTTGCAAAAGGCATGACTTCATTCTATTTTACGGCTGAATAGTATTCCACTGTGTATGTATACCATATTTTCTTTATCCAACCATCCACTGATGGACACTTAGGTTGATTCCATATCTTTGCTATTGTGAATAAACACACGAGTACAGATACCTTTTTGATATAATAATTTTTTTTTTCTCTGGGTAGATACCCAGTAGGGGGATTGCTGGATCTGGTTCTTCGAGAACTCTCTGTACTGATTTCCATAAAAGTTGTACTAATTTACACTCCCAGTACCACCTTTTCTCTCTAACTGTTCTAACATGGTCAGATCCTCACTGGTCAGTGACTCGGCTTGTAATTTGAGCAGTGCCCAAAGCCACTCTGGTGAACTTCAAGATACCCTGTGGGTTTAGGGTTTTTCTTTTTTGTGAGATTTGCAGTTCTTCTTTGCAACTGATTACCAGTTTCTTATAGCAGCTGTATATCAGGGAAAAACAGCCCCTGCCCAGGAAAACCTTTGAAGGAATCGCTAGCATAAATGTAGAGTGGGAGGGACATTGAGAGTGGCAGGGGTGCGGGGGGATTATCTTGTCAATATCCTTTTGTTGGTAGATATCATCACATTAAAGTTACTTGCTTACCTACACACTTGCTATGAGAATTGGGCTATTGAACAGTACTTAGTAACGAGGACCCCCTGAGCATTAACCCCATGGTACACACAAAGAAACTGAGGCTCAGAGAAGTTAGGTTTCTTGCCTGTGGTCATACTATGAGAAAGTGGTAGCACCAGGCTTTGACCCTAAAGTACCCGCAGCTCATCCATCTCTCCTGCTCCCAATGTCACAGGTGTCAACCGATTCTATGACAATATCCAAGAGATGGTTGGCTCCAGGCCCTGCATCTGGTGGAAACTCTGCTGGTCTTTCTTCACCCCAATCATTGTGGCGGTAAGAGGAAGACCTGATTAGCCCTGTTAGGATGAGGCTAGACCAAGCCCTGGGGGGACTCAGGTCCAAAGGCAGGTGGAAGAGGTCCCCAGAAACCCTGTTACTTAGTAATACTTCCTCTGCCATCTGTTGGGCATCTATTCTGCACTCTGCATGGTACAAGACACATATATCACCCTCACAAACCTCAGAAAAGAGGCATTGTTGTGCCACTTTACTGCTGCAGGATCTGGGGTTCACCTAGCCAGCATCACCCAGCTCATGTGCTGGGATTCAAATCAAGCTGACCTGATTCCGAAGCCCAAGCTCTTGGCACTTGCAGACCCTTCTTCTCAGGGTCCCTCATTCCCACAAGCAGGAGCTGAAGCAGCGGCGGGCCTGGGAGGGGCCATTCAAGGTCCTTGAGGTGGGGGCAGAGCCACTACATATGTTGTGGCCCACATAAGGGGACCCTGCCAGTGGCACACCAGGAGCTGATACCTCACCCTTGCTCTGCTTTCAAAGCCGGGAACTTGGAGGAAAGGGTTCCCTTTTCTAATTAGTATCTTTGGAGGAGTTTCCTTTTCCTACTGATCTTCCCTGAGAGGGTGTCTTTTTCTATTACGTACAAAGGCACCTTATGTGCTAGCAGTGCATAAGGTGCTGGGTCAGCCTCCAGGCAAGGGTAGAGGGCAGTCGGCCTGCTGGCTTCAGGGTGGTCCATTCTGTGACTGACTCGTCCCCGTCCATGCCCTCCCCTCCACCCTCTCCAGGGTGTGTTCATTTTCAGTGCTGTGCAGATGACGCCTCTCACCATGGGAAGCTACGTTTTCCCCAAGTGGGGCCAAGGTGTGGGCTGGCTCATGGCTCTGTCTTCCATGGTCCTCATCCCCGGGTACATGGCCTACATGTTCCTCACCTTAAAGGGCTCTCTGAAGCAGGTAAGCCCTTTCCCACTTCCAAATTGCCAGTGCCCTTCCCCCACTGTGCCAGGAACAGCCCCACCCCTTATGGATCTCACAGTCTAGCTGGGGAGACAGACAAGCCAACAGCCAAAGACAACAGAGTATTAAAGCCAGGGGGGTGGGAGCAAATAGCCCTGCCTCAGCCCTACCTGGTTTAAGGAGGATTAAAGAAGGATTTCCAGAAGAGGGGATAACAAAGGAGAGGCCTAAGGATCAACCAGACTTAGAAGTAGAAGCAGAAAGAAGATTCCTAGAAGAGGGAGGGGAGGAGAGGTTGGGAAGCATGTGCAAAGGTCCGGGGGTATAAACTGCATCGGGTGAACTGAAGGGAGATCAGTGTGGATGGAGGGTAAAGTGGAAAGAGGTGTGAGGAGGGGGCATGACACGAGATGAGGTTGGGATGTAAGAAGGTGTGCCAGATCATAAAGGCCTTTGAAAACCAGTACAGGAACTTTGGACTTGATCCTGGTGGCAGTGGGGCACACAAAGGGCTTGGAACAGATGGAGGGTGGGATCACATTTGCCCAGGGCTCACTCTAGATCTCATTTGTAGGATTAATATAGAGAAAATGTGATCTTACCCACAAGGAATGACAGAGCACAAAAGACCTGCTGCCCCAGCAAGGCCCTCACCATCATGTAGGGTTCTCTGTCCATGCCTGCACTTTGTTAAACTGCACTGAATTCTTGAGGGAGCAAGGTAGTGCTGGAGGTGCCAGGCAGAGACATTGATGAGGTGTGTGCCGTCTGAGAAGATGCCCCTGGGAAGAGTGGAGAGTCAGAGCATGGGGGCCGTCCCTGGAGGGCCCTGGGCAAGTGGCTGTCCACTGTAGTTCCCCCGGGAGATGCACCTGCCAGACCCAGAGGAAGCACTCTCAGGTCCAAGGCACAGGGAAGCCGGGCTGCAGGTTATGTGCAGCCCCGGAGTTACTGGGCCATCCTCCTCTGACCTCAGATGGAGAAACTGAGGAATCGCAGGTGTTGGGTAAGCAGGTTCCCAGCTCAGGAAGCTATGAACAGAGCCAGGGCTTGCAGCCCTTTCTTCCCACTGTAGGTCCAAAGCTTTCATTTTCCACAATCCACTGGAGAGCCTCAAACAGCAGCTGGGGCTTGGCGTGATGAGAGGTCAAGGGGATGCCCTTGCAGAAAAGACCACAGCTTGTGTAAAGGCCCACTGGTAGGAAGGGCCAGGGCGTACCTGAGGCCAGGGTGTGAGCTGATGGGGCAGGATGACAAAGGCAGTGGGGGATCTGTCCATTTCGCACACGTGGATGGAACCCTGATGATGTGCCAGACAGAACTGTCCGTGCTGCGGACACAGCCGTGAACAAGATAAGCAGAAATCACACCCTCCTACCAGAGCTCCCATTCTGGTAGAGGAAGACAGGCAACTAACAACAACAAAAAAAAACATGTGAGGTGGGAAGAACACTATAGAGAAAAATCAAGTAGGTGGGGGTTTAGGGAGTGCCGGGTGAGGCCTCACTGAGAAGGCAAAACATTTGAGCCAAGACTTGGGAGGCAGAGAGTGAGCTGTCGCTATCTGAGAGAAAGAGTGCCAGACAGAGGGTGCAGCCTGTGCAAAGGCCCTGGGTGGGAGCGTGCCTGCTGCGTTTGCGGGATATCGAGGAGTCCCATGCGGATGGGATGGACACATGAAGGAGAAAGGAGGACACTAAGCACTGGGAGGTGGCAGGGGCCAGGTCATGTAAGGCCTTGGAGGACTTTGGCTCTGCCTCTCAGTGAAATGGGAGCCTCTGTAGTTGGGTCCTGAGTAGCAGAGGGATGTGATCTGAGTCTGGTTTTCACAGAACTCTCCTGCTGCTGTGTTGAGGACAGAATGAAGGGGTGAGAGGACAGAATGAAGGCGGGAGTGGAAGCTGAGGGCTGGGAGTTGTTGCAGTAACCCAAGTGAGAGGGGCTGTGGCATGGCCCATGTGGGGCAGGATGTGGGGCTGTGGCTGGAGTCTGGGTGTAGTCTGGAGGCAGAGCAGACAGGATGGGCTTGAAGAGAGGGCAGGAGAAGGAAGCAGCCTGTTCCCACCATCCCAGCCTGGGATTTTCCCCAGAGAGCCTCACACCTTCCTCCCCGGTGCCCACAGCGCATCCAAGTCATGGTCCAGCCCAGCGAAGACATCGTTCGCCCGGAGAATGGTCCTGAGCAGCCCCAGGCCAGCAGCTCCACCAGCAAGGAGGCCTACATCTAGGGTGGGGGCCGCTCGCCGACCCAGCACTCTCACCCCCCGACCTGGATGAGCACGACCACCACTTGATGTCTGAGGATAACTTCTATCTCAACCTACCTCGAGTGGCGAGTCCAGATACCATCACCACGCAGAGAGGGGAGGTGGGAGGACAGTTAGACCCCTGGGTGGGCCCTGCCGTGGGCAAGGATACCCAGTGGCTTCCGGTACCCAGTGGGCTGGTGACCTTTTTAATCTAGGCCCCATCAGCATCCCACGATCGGCCTTGGTAACCGCCACGGTAGATCATTTTTATCCTGCCAGGGAGCGTGATACAGCGAGGCCACACGTGCTCCTGGCTTTTAGACCTGTTCCTGACTGTTCTCTTACTGCCGAAACCCACGACTGTTATCTCGGACTTTGCAGGAGTTCCTTTCCCTCAGAACGCTGCTCCATGCACAGGAAAAGGGCATTTTGTACAATGGAGACTTCCCAGGAGCGCTTGCTCTTAAGTAGCAGGAGCCAGCGGAGCTCTGGCTTTCGTGTTTTTGGTTTTCTCCTTTCCAAGGCAGCTGGACAAAAAAAAAAAAAAAAAAAAAAAACCCAGGGGGCCTCAGTCGATATTCCCAGGGCCGCTTCTCCCCCAATCTGCAGCGTGCCCTTGTCCCCGCTGCCCGAATGAATGAGCATTCTGCAGCCCAATGTCCCTGTCCCCTCCCTGCTGGGCCATTCTGATTGGACCTGGCCCAGTGCAATCCGTCCAGAGAAGCCCTGCTTGCTGGAAAACTGCCACAAGCACAACTGATCTATTTTTATCACCATTCTAGGGGCCTCAGGTCCTACTGGGGAAACTTCCCATACCTGAGCTCCAGTTTCTGTTAAGCTGCCCAATTTCACAGAGTACAAAATAGTTGCAGGGGAAATCAAGGTGAAGGATCTGTCTGACACTGAAGACGGATCCAGTAATCGTTCGGTCTCCTTAAACTACCACCCTCACTGTCACCCGCCCCAAGCTGCTGCCGCCTCACCTTCCTTGAAATTCCTCAGCAGGAGTCTCCTCACTGCCACTGAAACCCACCCGCCCCACTAACTGAGGAGCTAGCGTTAATCCAGAGAACCCCCTGCAGTGTGCTTCCGAGATTCAAACTGCTTCATTGGGAAGTATGATTTGTTCCTTTCTGGAATCGGGCTCCATGGTGGCGGCAGCACTTCAAGTGAAGACAGTTTCTTGCAAGCTCCAGTAGCTCCGCGTGTCTCATCTGCCAGGAAGATGGGTTCCCACGTAGCAAATCGTACGTTGTGCCCTGTAGCTCCTTAGCTAGTTAGCTCACAAGCCGTGTTTTATGACTAATCCTTAATAACTATGGTAAATAACTGTGACTGTGGGGTTTTTAATCTCTTGTCATTCTCATCCGAAAGTGACCAGCATACCAGTTCTTGCAATAAGATATTACCCTCAGAATATTAAGCACATTATTGTAGAGAAAAAAATATGTGTATACATATGAACGTATAATATGCACATTCATCCTCACGTGTGGCACATAAGGTCTCATTTGATATTGTATAGGAAATCTAAAACCTTTTCCTCTGAGGTCATCTGTAAAATAGTCCCATTGCCAAGGCATCCCCAATGCCAGCTGGTGAATCCATGATCAGAATCATACGTATTGTTAAATTATAGTGTTTAGAATGACAGGAACCCCTCACTGTGTCTCATGGTCCACTTCCCCATCTGTGTGTGAACTCCTTTAGACTAAGGGCAGGAAGAACTTCCAACTTTCTCTTTGTTCTTCAATGTGAAACTGAGAACAAGTCTCTCTAAGACAAATGCAGTGTATTTAATGTTTGTAAGCAATTCTAAGTGAGATGTTTGGCAAGAAATCCCCTAACTGATTTCCATCCAAACCTACCTTATAGAGCACAATATTAAGTGTCGTACAATTACTGTGAGAACTGTGAATACGTGTAACATTTTTTTAGTATTTGCCCGGGGGGAAGAAGATATTGTATTATCATATATGCTTTTTTTGCAATAAGGATTTATTCTCAGAACACCAAGTAAATCTATCTCTATATAAAAAAATATATGTAATATATACATATTCAAAGTATATACAGAGCCTGTTTTAAAAAATACAGTATTATTTAGTAAAATTATCTGTTCTATGGACCAAATGTAAAATATTTATAAATGAAGATGCATTTTAAATGTCTATAAATGGTGTCATAACTAGAGCACGGGCGTTATGTAAGTTTCTAAGAATTTAGAGGATAAATAATAAAGGTTCTATGATATACAACATCAGACCTTCAATTCTTTGGGGTTGGGGGCACAATATCCTCTTTCATCAGAACCACAACACATACACACAAAACTATTTTTCCCCAGAAGAGAGAGATTTGGGCTCAAAACCCAACAAAACAGAGCTGGACCTCCCCAGAGTCTCAGAGTGAGTCATAGAAAATGACTGTGTGCTCCGTGAGGGAGGTGCCTTCAGTGTGCATGGGATCCACTAAATAAAGATCTAAAACTGCAGGAAAGTAGGAGTACATTTAGTGAACAACGGCACTCATTCATTCACTCACTGATTGCTTCCTCAACATTTTTTTTAAGAATAGTTCCGTGGACATATCTGTGCTTCACCCAGATTCGTCCGTTGTTAACACGTCACCACATTTATCTTAACAGTCAAGGTTAGTTAACGGTCTTGACTAACAGTCACGTCAGTCGAGGTTCAGCCTGGGAAGTGGAGCCACTGAATAGGATGGAATCAGGGCTCTATTACAGGAATGGACCTTAGACCACAGTAGGGCAGTTGGAAAGTAAGAGTCTGCGGTTTCTCTACCTGGACTGCTCTTCCCTGGCTGTCCTTACCACTGGTTCCTTCCTTTTATTCAGGTCTCTGCTCAATTGTCACCTCCTCACAGAGGCCTTCCCTGACCACCCTAGCTAAAATAATATGCTCCTTCATCTCTCTCTGCTCCCTTGACCTGCTTTATTTTTCTTATTCTCAGCACTCACATGCCTACTAATTTAATATCTGTCTCTCCCCACTATAAAGGAAGCTCTGGGGCCAGGCACAGTGGCTCATGCCTGTAATCCCAACGCTTTGGGAGGCCATGATGGGTGGATCTCTTGAGGTCAGGAGTTTGAGACCAACATGGTGAAACCCCATCTCTGCTAAAAATACAAAAATTAGCTGGGCGTGGTGGGGGGTGCCTATAATCCCAGCTACCTGGGGGCTGAGGCAGGAGAATCGAATAAACCTGTGAAGCAGAGGTTGCATGAGCCGAGATCGTGCCACTGCACTCCAGCCTGAGCAACAGAGCGAGACTCTGTCTCAAAAAAATAAATAAAATAAAAAAAAGGAAGCTCTGGGAAGATGGTGACTTTTGCTAATTCACTACCATGTTCTAGATGCCCAGAACAGTGCCTGACACACAGTAGAAGCTCAACAAACATACAAATGAATGAATGAATAAATGGATGGGCAGACAGATGAATGTATGGATGGTGGGATGGATGGATGGGCAAGGAATGTTGATGGAACAGCATCACGGGCACTGGCTTTGGAGTCAGACAGCTCTCCATGTGAGTTCCGGCTCTGCTGCTCACTCTCTCAGCAACTCTGAACACGTTGCTTAAATCTCTTTGTGCCCCAGTTTCCTCACAAAATTGTTGTTAAAGTGAAATGAGTTAAAACAAGGAAAGCACATAGCATGGTGCCTAGCCCAAACTGAGCAGTTAAAAAAATAGTGGTATTATTACAGCAATGGTTCCTGAAATGTTCCCTTAGAAGAACCTCTTTAATCAGGGTCCATCCCCACACACAGAGCTCCATGTTTTGAAGGATTTTGTCTACCAAACTGTCGCTTAATAATTAAGCCATTTCCCCCTTTTTATTAATCAGATGTGGCTGCTAATTAGAGCTCCTGATTAGCATGAGGTAACCAGGGTGACTGCACTAAGCTGATATCATTCCAGGCAAAAGCAAAGAAATGCGGTATTTGGGGTCCTCAGCTTACCCGAATGGTTTGTAATTATGTGATTTCCTCTGGGCTCTATAATATGGAAAAAAAAAAAGGTTCTGATGTCCCATTGACTTTTCCAGGGACCCTCACAGGTTCAGGACCTCAGGTGGGGTCTATGTCTCGCAAAATGTTTGGCTGCAGACTTTGTATTTCTCTTTCTTTAAAACCAAAGTTTGCTTTGAGGAGTAAATATTTTCCAGCCTGGGTGACCACAACCCTTGATCCAACTAATACATGTAATGAAAATGGCTCACCAATTTGAAGCTCAAATTTTGGCCACATCTCTATTTCTTTTATATAATCTCCCAGCAGTGAAATTGCTGAGTCAAGCAGTCTGTGCATTTTCAGGCCGCTCATACCTAGTGCCGAACTGTCCTCAGGGAAAGTGGTGACCATTTTTACTTCCCTTAGAAGTATATGGTAGTGATAATTTCCCCACTCCTTTTCCAAAACTAGCTCTTATTATTTTTTTTAATCTTTTTCAATTTCACAGCTAAAGATATCTTAATAGTTGGCTTATATTTCTTTGAATTTTACTGATGCTGGATTTTTTTTTCATGTCCTTTCTGGCCTTTTGTATTTATTTTGTGAATTTATAGCTCATGAGCATCTTGTTGCTCTTTAGAGACAGGGTCTTACTCTATCACCCAGGCTGGAGAGCAGTGACGCGATCACAGCTCACTGCAGCCTTAACTCCTGGGCTCCTGCACCAGCCTCCCCAGTAGCTGGAACTACAGGCACGAGACACCACATCCAGCTAATTTTTTAATTTTTCTTTTGTAGAGACTGTATCTCACTATGTTGACCAGGCTGGTTTCAAACTCCTGGCCTCTGGCGATCCTCCTACCTTAGCCTCCCAAAGTGCGTGGGCAACTGCGCCTAGCCAGCATCCTGTTTCTGTGCTTGTCTTGTTGGAAGAGTTGTTTTTAATATCTTGAGGATATTAACACTATCTTATGTGTGTTGAAAACACATATTAAACCTTACAGAACTAAATCACAGGATGTATATGGATAGGTATATGTGTACATATATGTACGTGTATATGAGTATGTACTTGTGTATGTATATCTATATGTATAGATAAATGCATATGTACATGTGTAGATAGATATAGATAGATGATAGATAGATAGATGATAGATAGATAGATAGATGATAGACAGATAGATAGATAGACAGATAGTCTCTTTTCCCAAGGAAGGCTTTCTGTTTTCTAGTTCCTGGCTTCTCTACTTCCAAACATTTTACAGTTTGAGTTAAAGGCTGGGAAAACATTTTCGGCCATCCCCTTTTCCAATCCTATGTTGGTGTAGCCCCTCTCTTGGGTGGAATTCATGGTTTGATAGGTGTCAAGTGGTTAGGACAGGGCCTGGTACACAGGAAACACTCAGACTGGGCCATTCTCATGACTTTCTGCGACCATGCAATAGCGTCAGCTGCCTACTCTTCTCTCGTCCTCACAAACCAGCCCTCTTATGATCCTCGTGGAACCTTCCCTGGGACACCCTTCAGGCTCACTGGGTCACTGTCAGGGCTGCTCAGAGAAGGCGGGTGTTGAGGTAGTGGCAGTCATGACAACAGTGGTAATTATAACAACTATTCATTCAGGCCCTGCTAAGTTTGAGGCTCTGTACCAACCACCCCGCAAGATTTTTCTCACGTCTCCCTCAGGACCAGCCCATGGGGTATGGGTGACCTACCATGTCAGTGCTCCAGCTGTAGCACTGGGGTCCCTTCTCCATCTTCATTTTTGGGCACACTGGCTTCCGCTGTGCCTGCACTCTGACATCCAGCACCTTTGTCTGTGTCAGACACAGGCATTATTTTTATAAAAGGAAGTACATAATAAACTGTATTTTTAAATACACAAAGTCATCACCAGGCACAGTGGCATATGCCTGTAATCCCAGCACTTTGGGAGGCCAAAGCAGGAGGGTTGTTAAGACCAGGAGTTCGAGATCAGCCTGGGCAACATAGCAAGGACCCATCTGCACAGAAAAGATTTAAAAAGTTAGCCAGGTATTATGGCACATGCCTGTAGTACGAGCTATTCAGGAAGCTGAGGCAGAAAGATGGCTTGAACCCAGGAGTTCAAGGTTGCGGTGATCTCACCATTGCATGCCAGCCTGGACAACAGAAGGAGACCCTGTCTCTAAAAACAAAACAAACAAAAAAAGCACACAAAGTCACGTGGGCTTGTCAATGTGGAGGAGGACAATTTACTGACAAGGCATCTCATTACAACGCACATACAATTAAGGACTGTGTATATTTTGCTTTTGGAGGAAAACTTTCCTGTACCAAAAAATGCTAATGGGACATGGGTGAGGAAACCAACCATGACGGACAACCCTAATAATACCCTAACATGGGCGAAGGAAAAAACAAGTGCTCCAGTGATGTGTTTACTGATGCTTCACTGATGCTGTCAAAGAGAATGTCTTGGTGTTTTACTTGAGGTTCGTGTC